TTTCTTGAAAAATTACGTAATAATAGTATAGCTTCATATTCCTCTGCTACTACTTCAGATTTTGACATAGCAGTGCCGCTATTACTCATCCATACTACTCGATTTCGTTGAAATGCTGTAGTTATTACGCAGCATAGGAGGGGTCATAAGGCTGTGCTAGGAAGATAATAGGAGACGTGCAAATTACTATTTAATTGCTCTGCGAACCCCACTGGTTTCACAACAAAGCTGTACCGATGAGTGCACAAAGACATCAGATATCATAATATTAGAACATCTCTGTAGCACTAATACACTGTGAAAATATTAAACGTCACAAAAATATTATTCATCACAAAAAAATAGGTTTAAAATATACGGCATGCCCAGCTTTTCTACGATACTCAATTTATCCAAAATGAACAAAAAAAAGGAAAACTAATGATTGCTACCAAATTTGTAAAATGTCATATTTATTTTATAAGAGTTGATTGTTGCTGAAGCTGTTATATTCTGTAACGGAGCTTTTCTTCATGCATGATAGATGGGCTTTGACGATTGTAAATCTCAGAGAAAGGGACCTCTAGCTCAATGTATTGCCGACGTTTCAAAGGACCATCGATCAGCTAAGCCCGGTTTACAGCTTTGCGCATATGCTTAAAGAAAGATAAGACCCCGTCATCAAAACATGACACCATTTCCTCTTCCACTCTCAACGGTGCAATAAAACCTTTAAAGCAACAAAAATTAGTATATGTGAGTAACCCTGGGCTTTGTGCTTCTGACCGTCTTTTTTATGAGTCAGTTTTGCATAGGTAAAAGTTCTATGAACGGTAATTACTACTCGCTCACTAAAAAGGTTGGTGATATATTTAGGTTGCATCGAAGTTTTTCTAAACTTCTGAAGTGTATTAAACAAGCGCACAACGATTACAAGTGCGTTTCATTGCTTCGTTTACTGTTTTTTATATTTCAAGGATACGGAGTAGCAGAAACCGAAAAGAAGGGTTTCGGTGAGGTTTGATGCAGCGCTTGGACGGAATTGAAGAAATAATCAGAGCATCTATTCTGTTTTTGACGTAACTCTGACCCAGCCCTGAGTTTGCGAATAAAAGAAGTGCTAGACTAGGGAGCGTCCAAATAAACAAAATAAATTTAGATCAAGACGGCCCGTTGGTCAAAAAAAGGAGAAATCACTTAGCATTGTTAAATATTAGTATAAATTTTAAGATTTTTATGGGTTGCTAAAGTTTTAACGAAATTGATGGGTAGCTAATTTTTCAGTGTAGAATGCAAATACAAACTCTTT